TGCGTCGAGGGGCGGCAGCGCGCCGCTCCTCACTCCTCCTCGTTCCCCCCGACAGAGGCTCCTCTGCAGACCCTCCACCTGGACGTGTGGGGCCCAGCCCGCGTTCGTGGTCAGGGCGGTGAGCGGTACTTTTTGCTGGTTGTCGACGACTACTCGCGTTACACCACGGTCTTCCCCTTGCGCACCAAGGGTGAGGTCCCTGCTGTTCTGATCCCTTGGATCCGCACAGTTCGTCTCCAGCTCCGCCGCCGTTTCCGGACGGATCTTCCTGTCCTGCGTCTGCACTCTGACAGAGGTGGTGAGTTCTCCTCCGATCTCTTGAGGACCTTCTGTCAGGCGGAGGGCATCGAGCAGACCTTCACGCTTCCGGACTCCCCACAGCAGAATGGGGTTGCTGAGCGCCGCATTGGCCTGGTCATGGAGGTCGCTCGTACCTCCTTGGTCCACGCGGCGGCTCCCCATTTTCTGTGGCCGTTTGCTGTCCGGTACGCCGCGCATCAGCTCAACCTCTGGCCCCGTGTCTCCTTGCCGGAGACCTCGCCCACACTGCGTTGGACGGGGGAGGTTGGCGATGCGTCGCGCTTCCGGGTGTGGGGTGCTCGTGCCCTTGTCCGCGATACGTCCGCGGACAAGCTCTCCTCCCGCACGCTTCCCTGTGTCTTCCTTGGCTTTGTCCCTGACGCGCCTGGCTGGCAGTTTTACCACCCCACCTCGCGCCGGGTCTTCGCCTCTCAGGATGTCACCTTTGACGAGTCGGTCCCTTTTTACCGTCTCTTCCCCTACCGCACTGCCCCCCTCCCTCCCCCGCCGCTTTTCCTTGCTCCTGGTCCCCCTCCGGTAGACCCCCTTCCCCCTCAGGGTCCTGCTCCTTCAGGTGTCTCTCAGGTAGACCCTCCTCCCGTCGCTGAGCCTGTCGAGGTCACAGGTGACTCAGGTGCTGCTGCAGGTGGTACTGCTGGGAGTGCTGAGCCTGGGGGTGCTGAGCCTGCGGGTGCTGGGCCTGGGAGTGCTGGGACTGCGGGTGCTGGAGCTGAGGGTACTGTGCCTGAGAGTTTGCCGCCTGGGGGTGCTGGGTCTGGGGGTGCTGCGACTGGGGGTGCTGAGCCTGCGTGTGCGGAGTCTGGGGGTACTGAGTCTGGGGGTGCTGAGCCTGCGGGTACTGAGCCTGCGGGTACTGAGCCTGGGGGTGCTGCTACTGAGCCTACGGAGCCTCGGGTTACTGTGTCTGGGGGTGCTCCGGTTCGGGGTGCTGAGCAGTCTCTCACACCGCAGCAGCTTCGTGACTGGTACGTCCGGCGCTTTCGCCGTCCTCGTGGCTCGGCTGGAGTTGGGGGTGCTGGGGCTGCTCGTCCTGGGGGTGCTCGTACTGGGGGTACTGGAGCTGCCGGGACTGGTTGTTCTGGGAGCACTGTGACTGGAGCTGCTGGAGCTGGGGACTCTGGCGCTGGCGGTGCTAGCGGAGTTGGAGCTGCCGACTCTGGGGGTGGCGCTGCTGCTGGTGCTGCGGACCCGCCTGGTGGAGCTGCTGCTGGAGCTGAGGACCTGAGCGGTGGTGCTGCTGCTGGTGCTGGGGACCCGGACGTTGGAGCTCCTGCTGGTCCTGAGGACCCGGCCACTGGAGTCTCTTCTGCTTCTGGAGACGCTGCGCGGCCGCGATCGTACTTCGTACCGCTCCTTCAGCAGGTTCTTGGGCAGGCTCCTCCTCCTTGTCCTCCTCCCTCCGTAGAGTGTCCTCCGCCTGTCCAGCCGCAGTCACAGTTACCGCCTGCCTCGCCTCTCCCTGCTCCCTCTCCTTATACTGGTCCCACAGGAGGTCTTACAGAGCGTCGTGAGCCTGAGTCTCGTCCTGCGTCGCCTGTTCGTCCTGCTCGCGCTGGTAGTCGTGTCCGTCGTGAGCGTCCTCCTCCTGTCCCAGGCACTCACTACATGACTCTGCGTCCCTCTACTGCTCCTCGGCGTGTCCCTCTACCGTCTCCTCCTGCATCCTCTTTGCCTGCCGTTCCGGACCCTGAGTCTGACCGGTATCGCGCTGAGCACCCTACAGTCACGCGTCTCCTAGCTACTGTTGTCACTGACCCTACCTTTGAGTCCTCGGCTGCGTCTGCTCTGGTCGCTGAGTTGGTTGACTTTGCTGCTGCCTGTCGTCTAGACTACGCTGCTAGCCTTGTTGCTGAGCCTGAGTCTGCGTCTGTCTGTCCTCCGTCCGTCGGGGGTGAGTGTGCTCTTGGCACGGACGTCCTTGAGGACAGGCAGGAGGACCTTGACTCTCTTGCGGCTGCTGTACCTCATCTCGTGGCCTGGTTACTTGCCCCTGAGGGAGACCCGGATGCACTAGACATCCCCACTCCGCGCACTTACGCAGAGGCGATCTCGGGTCCCTACTCCTCTCAGTGGCAGACAGCCATGGACGCAGAGATGGCATCCTGGAAGTCCACAGGCACCTACGTCGACGAGGTTCCCCCTCCTGGGGCGAACATCGTCGATGGCATGTGGATTTTCAGGGTGAAGCGGCCGCCAGGTTCTCCGCCTGTCTTCAAGGCTCGTTACGTTGCTAGAGGCTTCAGTCAGCGTCAGGGGGTCGACTTCTTCCAGACCTTCTCCCCCACCCCGAAGATGACCACTCTTCGGGTTCTGCTGCACGTTGCTGCTCAGCGTGACTACGAGCTTCACTCTCTTGACTTCAGCACAGCGTTCCTGCAGGGCAGCCTGCACGAGGAGATCTGGCTGCGCCGCCCACCTGGCTTTACTGGGTCGTTTCCTCCTGGTACCCAGTGGAGCCTCCGCCGGCCAGTCTACGGTCTCCGCCAGGCGCCACGAGAGTGGCACGACACACTGAGGACTACACTTGCGGCTCTTGGGTTCGCGCCGTCTACTGCTGACCCGTCGCTGTTTCTGCGCACAGACACGTCGCTGCCGCCGTTCTACATTCTTGTGTACGTCGACGACTTGGTCTTTGCTACTGCTGACACTGAGGCACTCGCTCGTGTGAAGTCGGAGCTGCAGAAGAGACACACCTGCACTGACCTGGGTGAACTGCGTAGCTACCTTGGCTTGCAGATCACCCGGGACAGAGCTCGCCGCACCATCACCCTGACTCAGTCACACATGGTGCAGCAGGTCCTTCAGCGCTTCGGCTTCCAGTTCTCCTCACCACAGGCCACACCTCTGGCTACCAGCCACTCGCTCTCAGCTCCACCTTCGGACGAGTCCGTAGAGCCGAGTGGCCCGTACCCAGAGCTTGTAGGCTGCCTCATGTACCTGATGACTTGCACGCGACCTGACCTCGCGTACCCTCTTAGCATCCTTGCTCGTTACGTTGCGCCTGGGAGACACAGGCGAGAGCACTGGGAGGCTGCTAAGAGGGTGCTGCGTTACTTGTGCAGTACATCAGGCATGGGGCTGGTGCTTGGAGGACGCGACAGAGTTGTCCTCACTGGTCACTCGGACGCTTCTTGGGTGGACGACCTGGCTACGCAGCGGTCGTCACAGGGTTACACCTTCAGCCTTGGCTCTGGTTCTGTCTCGTGGCGGTCCACCCGCTCTTCCTCTGTTCTCGGCTCTAGTTGTGAGGCTGAGATCTACGCCACAGCCATGGCTGCACAGGAGTTACGCTGGCTCACCTACCTGCTGACTGACTTGGGAGAGCGGCCTAGTTCTCCTCCAGTTCTGTACGGTGACAACAAGGCGGCTCTTGCCTTGTGTCAGGAGCACAGACTGGAGCACAGGACGAAGCACATTGCTCTTCGCTACTTTCTTGCTCGAGAGCTTCAGCAGCGCGGTCAGCTTCGGCTTGTGTACGTGGACTCGAAGGCCAACACTGCTGATATCTTCACCAAGGCGCTCCCGCCTAGTGATCATCAGCGGCACTGTACTTCTTTAGGCCTTGTGTCCACGTTTCCTCACTTGCTCACTGCTTGACATTCTTTGTACTGTACTTTATATATATCTTGTTGCTTGCTTGCTAGGTTTTGATCACTGTGTTGCTTGTCTTGTACTATATCTAGCACTGCATGTGAACTGGCCTTGTGGCCTTTACTTGTGCTCGGAGTGTGGTGACGTTGTGATCCACCCTGGGCTTTGCTTTGCTTTGCTTTGCTGGACTGGTCTTGTGACCCTTTGTTCTCCCCCACTTTGCCTATGGGGGTGTGTTAAACTGTAGTATGCTTGTAGGCTGTAGTGGGGTAGCCAATATGGGGTACAACCCCAACTAGGGTTTCATATTTGTACCCAAACTTCTCCTAGTTCATTTCATTCTTGGCTAGTGATTCTGACAGAATCTTGTGGTGTGAAGGGCGAATATGCAATGTCAGGTGGAATTGTTTTGTGATTGGACGAAGTTGTTGTGCTATGACGGCGCAAATCTGTGGTGTCAGGGCGATTTTGCTGTGATTGGGCGAAATTTTGTGCTATAATGCGCGGATTTGCTGTGTCAAGGCGATTTTGCGTTGAAAATGCAAATCTGCTGTGACCCGTAAAGTCCGAATCACCAGTCAAGATCGTGTTTGTACTCTGAATGATCAGAGTACACTCCCGGAAAACTCTGAAATTTCAGAGTTAGCCCTAAAAAAAGTCTGAAACTTTCAGAGTTGAGGCCCTAAAAAGTCTGAAATTTACAGAGTATACTGGAAAAAAAAAATCTGAATTATAATAGTTTTTTGGCCAAATCAGAGCAAAAAGTCTGACTTTTGAGGGCCATGCAAGAGCAATTGTCGGAAAGTAGTTCGTGGGACTACGAAGTGGAATGCAAGAAAACTAGAGTGCCATGTAGCGGTCTGGAAATTTTGGGAATCCTTGGTGGATTGGACGTAGATAAGGTTGGAACGAGGTTGGGGGACTATTTGGGGTAAAATACCCTTGGACAGTAAACTAACCCATAACAGGTACGGTAACTAGTCATGAGATAAATTTCAGCAGTTCCTTAACTAGGAAAAAAAAAGTGTGTAGCAAAACTTCACAACATGTTGAGCTCCAAAAAGAAATTCAACAGTCAACAGCGTGTCTCAATACAACCGACCCCGGCAGTCAACAGCGCCACAGCAACAGTTCAGCTGCTTCACTTCACCATGCTCATCCATCACGCTGCCAACCTCGTAATTGTAGTCGTACGTCAATTCCTGCGCAACATGGCAAGCAGAGAAACACAAAAAAAGGCCAAGAAATCATACTACCGTACATGGCAAGCTCAAAGCTTTGGAACCAAGATGATAAGGCCCAACTTTGGTTTTGGAACCTTTGCAATTTGAGATACCATTCGAGCTAGGGTTGAAGTTTGGGCAAGTCCGCGTATCATGAATAGATTTGCCAAGCCACATTTGCCAGGCTGATTTTTTTTTTTATCTACCGTCATCGCCCGGATATAAGACAGTGTTGAATAGTAGACAGGGGTTGTCTATTATACGGGTGTCTCTTATAAACAGGCTAGCCTTATTATAAGACACCTATTTCTGTGTACGGGTTAGGCAAGTGTAGGGGTTAGGGGCAATTGTATAACGAGGGGGTATCTTCTAAACGGTTCTTTGTCCATTTATAAGACTTATAAGACACCCTAAACCGTCCCAAATACAAGATAACCCAAGCATTTTTGCCCGTGTACGAGATAAGACATATATGTCTTATATCCGGTACTCTGTAAGCGAGTGGTATGGGGAGAGAGACAGATGAACTTGGGCAGGGACAAGGTGTTGAGAGCAACAAATGGACATGGGCAGGGAGAGAGTGTAGAGAGGAGCAGAGGGACTTGGGCACGGAGGGAGTGGTGAGAACAACAGAGGGACTAGGGCAGGGAGGGAGAGAGTGGAGAGAAGACAGATGGACTTGGGAAGGGAGAGAGTGGAGAGAGGACAGATGAACTTAAACAAGGTGTTGCAAAAAAGAAAAGTGTCAAGTCAATCAGCAGGGCTTACAAGTAATAGCAGACTAAAAGCAGAGCCAGGAGGGTGTGAAAACAAAAAAAACGGGACTTGTGTGGACAACAAGAGGAAGGAGGTTGAAGGAAGGAAAAGAGAGATGGAGATGACATTACTTACCGTAAGCGGGGGGATGTTCTCCGAGGCGACGAGGAGGAGGTGGGAGAGCTCGGGGCGCTTGTGGTCCCAGAGGGCGGACTAGTAAAAGAGGTTGGGCGAGCAGCTGTGGTTGATGAAGCGCGCCACGTTGCCACGCCGCAGCCCGTCGATGGCGTAGTGCACTTCCTCGTGCTCCCCACCCTCCTTGCTCGCCTTTCTTGCTGCACGATGGCCTTTGGCACTCGGCTTGTCCTTGGCCTGCTCCAAGTCCTCCAGCGCATGCTCCAAGTCCTCAAACATGGGCTGCAGGAAGAGGGAGAAAGCAAAGAACAAACACCCACCAATGTAAAAAACCATTGTTTAAGTTAAGGTTGATGGACCGTGTTTGTGCTTCTGCAATTGACTTTGCTTTGTTTCCGCCTTCTGCAATTGAAAAACAACTCGACTAGCGAGCCAACCGTATAAGTGAAGAGTGAATGGGGTAGATGAGAATGGTAGCTTGGCCAGAATGAGTGAATGGGGTAGTAATGTTTTTGCCACTAAAAGTGAATGAGTTGCAAAACAACTCGACTAGCTAGCCAAATGAAATGAGTGATTGTTATTTTTTCTGAAGATGAGTTTCCTTGGCGCCTGGATGATACGTACATCTCTGCCCTGCGTGCCGAGCTTGGCGGTGCGAACGGTGTCGATGCTGATGACATACATGTCGTCCTCCACGTGGTCCACGCGCTCATATGGCAGCACGTCGCCCACGTACTCGCACACCACCGCCCCCGCCGGGATGAAGTCCCACGACCGCACCGCCCACCCCTTGTGCAGCGTATTGTACACCTGCGAGCGTGCGCATGGAAGGCAACGGTTCATGTAAAAGACTACTCGGACAGTAAAATGACTGAGTGCTATTAGATGTGTCTGACGACCATTATTGATGTGAATGATCAAATCAGACCGAAACAAAAGAAAATAGAAAGGATCAACCTCCAATGGTAAGACGGAACTACCTCCAATGGTAAGACGGAACTACCTCAAGGCGGAAGCGCAGGCCCTGCTGGCCGACCCTGTTGGCGCAAGCCGGGCCGCAGCCACACGAGGGGCCACACTCCATCACGATGCCGCGTGCCTTGACCAGCCTGATAGACATGTGATGGTGCACACGCGGATAATTTAAAACAGTGAAAGGTTCAGATAACTTCTGATACTTTTGATAACTTCAGATTCTAAGAGATTGCTCTTTGCACCAGTTCCAGACCACTCGCAGATACCAATGGTCAAATGGGTGAACTTACCTGCTAAACAGAAAACGCCATCTGCACTCAATGAGCATCCGAGCTGGGCCAGATACCAATGGTCAAATCGGTGGAACATGAAACAACAGGTGCCTAAATCTAAGACCACTGAATCTCTTGCACTCGGACTTGGTACTTGATTTCCACCTAGCAGCCAGGAACTTCCAATTATTGCACCTTTTTGTTCAAGAAATGAATTCACATGCATCCATCAATCAGTGCTTGTGTATTTTTCCAGGTTTGTCAATGCCTGTTATACATATGTCCCCCGTATGTCCAATAATTTTGTCCAATGCAGATTTGTGCATCCTTCCACAGGATCGTCTCCACCCTTCTTCAGCCAAAAACTATACATGTGCAAACAAGACGAGTCAACTCATCCGAGTTTTGACCCGAGCAATACTCGGACGATTAGTTTTTGCTATATTGCATACTCGTTACTCGCCTATTTCGACGAGTTTCTAAAAAGGTCGGACGAGCTTTTCTAATTGCTAGTCCGAGTTCGAGCAATTCTCACTCTGCTGCCCTGTAACTGCAAAATCTGCCCTGCATAAAAAGCCCGGGGAAGCCCAGGTAGCCCTAGGCTACGTGGGGTTGACATTTAAAAACCGCAGGGTAAAAAAAAAGTCCATATTGATATTGTTTATCAAACGGATCGTTCGCTAAAACACTCGAGTCTATGTTCTCTGGCTGTTGGGAGTGATTCGTCGTTGAGTTAGCCAATGAAACATGAGTCGGCTATCTCTGGCACGGAAGTGTGCCTGCCAGAGGTAGTCCATATACTTACGACGAACATGGAGGAGGGGGGGGGGGGGGGGGGGGGGGGGGGGGGTTGGATCTGCTAGTTTTGAAGGGGTGAAATGCGGTTGCAAGTGAAATTGCAAGGGCAAATTGTTGTTGGTTGGGGGGGTTGGGGGTTGGATCTGCTAGATCAGAAGAGGTGAACGTGAAATGTGGTTGCAAGCAATTTTGCAATTATAAAATGTTGGATCTGGTTCTGTTTTGACGAGAAAGAACCAGATCTACTTCGGCGCAACATTCGCATTGAAATCGAGATGGTAGATTTCGTCGACGGACATTTTCAAAGCGAGCGTCCAGCGTCCAGCAAGCGTCTAGCGTTTGGTGTATAGACGCTAGTGCATAAACGCTGGACACTAGCGGAGTCCAGGGTAGCCCAGAAACTCGCCGAGTGTGAAATACTCGTTGAGTTTTAGAAAATGCTCGTCAAAAAGCTTGGAGTACTCGACGAGTACAAACTTGCCGAGCAAAACTCGCGTCGGCTTGGACGAGCATTTCCGGCAAAGACGAGTAACCCGGACTCGCCTTGACACCCATGTATACCAAAAACAATTTGTTGTCGCAACTCTCAAAAGGCAGGTGAAGAAGTGGCACAGCTAAGAGGGAGTAGTGAGCAAAGCAAGTCCGCAGAGCACCTACCTTCCCCCTTGCACGTAGGGAAACCCGTCACGGTTCCTCCTGGCACATGCGCACTTGCTCTCGCTCCTGCACACCCCCTCGCACTCGCACTTGTGCGTCCCTCCATGCAGCTTGAGCCCCTTGGGCATGACACGCTCCGTCACGTACTCAAACGCTGCAGGGGTTAGCATACCAACACGGGGGGGGCCATGGTGAGCAGAAATGAGGAGTAGGGAAGCGATGTTATTTGAATCAAATTGCAAACAGTTCAGCCTGAACCGGAAGAACCAGAGGGTGATCCAAAGGCAAGGTCCCCTTTTCTTCCCTTCCTTCCTTTCCCTCCTTTGCCACTATGTCCAGTTTTCCTGTGAGAGGGTGCATTAGAGAAAAGGCCAAATAAGAGGGGGAACCAGAAAGGTGAAGTGAAATAGAGGGCGAACCAGAAGGGTGAATTATCAGGTGAACTGGAGAGTGAACCAGAGGGTGAAACGGAGGGTGAAACGGAGGGTTACCTGAGGGTGAATGGAAGGGTGAGCCAGAGCGTGAGCTAGGGGAGGGTGAATCAGAGGTTGAACCCGAGGACGCACCACCAGAGGATGCGCCAGCGGGTGAGTTGAAGGCTGCGTTCCCTTTTCCTCCCTTCCCTCCCTTACCACCCTTTCCAGCCCTGCTCTTTCCACCTGGTGACTTGTGTGGTCCGCTCGATGGTGCAACATTTCCGCACATTATGTGGTGGGGCCTGCAACTTCCCCTCCACAGGAGGACCCTTCTGCTCTTTGCCTGCAGAGGGACCTTGCTGATGCTCGCATGTACGGTGAAGTGAATGTTGAAATCCTGCCGGCTTCGATTTCAGTGGATCTGAACCAGTGCTGTTTGAACCAGTGCTGTTTGAACCAGTGCTGTTTGAACCAGTGCTGTTTGAACCAGTGCTGTTTGAACCAGTGCTGTTTGAACCAGTGCTGTTTGAACCAGTGCTGTTTGAACCAGTGCTGTTTGAACCAGTGCTGTTTGAACCAGTGCTGTTTGAACCAGTGCTGTTTGAACCAGTGCTGTTTGAACCAGTGCTGTTTGAACCAGTGCTGTTTGAACCAGTGCTGTTTGAACCAGTGCTGTTTGAACCAGTGCTGTTTGAACCAGTGCTGTTTGAACCAGTGCTGTTTGAACCAGTGCTGTTTGAACCAGTGCTGTTTGAACCAGTGCTGTTTGAACCAGTGCTGTTTGAACCAGTGCTGTTTGAACCAGTGCTGTTTGAACCAGTGCTGTTTGAACCAGTGCTGTTTGACTGCCTGAACCAGTGCTGTTTGACTGCCTGAACCAGTGCTGTTTGACTGCCTGAACCAGTGCTGTTTGACTGCCTGAACCAGTGCTGTTTGACTGCCTGAACCAGTGCTGTTTGACTGCCTGAACCAGTGCTGTTTGACTGCCTGAACCAGTGCTGTTTGACTGCCTGAACCAGTGCTGTTTGACTGCCTGAACCAGTGCTGTTTGACTGCCTGAACCAGTGCTGTTTGACTGCCTGAACCAGTGCTGTTTGACTGCCTGAACCAGTGCTGTTTGACTGCCTGAACCAGTGCTGTTTGACTGCCTGAACCAGTGCTGTTTGACTGCCTGAACCAGTGCTGTTTGACTGCCTGAACCAGTGCTGTTTGACTGCCTGAACCAGTGCTCTTTGACTGCCTGAACCAGTGCTGTTTGACTGCCTGAACCAGTGCTGTTTGACTGCCTGAACCAGTGCTGTTTGATTGCCTGAACCAGTGCTGTTTGATTGCCTGAACCAGTGCTGTTTGACTGCCTGAACCAGTGCTGTTTGACTGCCGTTTGACTGCCTGAACCAGTGCTCTTTGACTGCCTGAACCAGTGCTGTTTGACTGCCTGAACCAGTGCTGTTTGATTGCCTGAACCAGTGCTGTTTGATTGCCTGAACCAGTGCTGTTTGACTGCCTGAACCAGTGCTGTTTGACTGCCTGAACCAGTGCTGTTTGACTGCCTGAACCAGTGCTGTTTGACTGCCTGACTGGTTTGAGTCGGTGTCAGTTGATCCGGTTCGAGTTCATGTCAAGGAGAAGCCACACAGGCAACAAAACCACCACATGCAAAGCCACCCCCAACCCTCCCCAGCCGCCCTCCTCCTGCTCCTCTCTCTCCACTTTCTCACGCCCCGTCTGTCAGAAATAGGCTTAGAAGTGATGCATTAGTAATGAGCTTGAAGCTCTTTAAGTACATCCAAGAGGGGTAGGAAAAGGATGGGGAAGGGAATCGGGGGCAATCTCTAGGGATTGGGGGTAATCCCAAGGCAATCTCCAATTGGTGGGTTGGAGATTGGTTGGAGATTACATTTGGGTTTGGTTGGGATGTAGGTGTACACCCAACCAAACACAATGTGCAAACTACACTACTCTAGGATATAGAAAATACAAAGTACAAATTGTGAGATTGAAGACTAACACTAACACCCCCCCATAGGCGTCAATCGAACTCAGGGTAGAGAGGGTGGAGCACAGAGCCCCATGGCGCCAAGGAGACGGTGGTGGGGAACTTTCCCAAGGGGCTTGGTGAACAGATCAGCCAGGTTGCAGTCAGATGCAACGTATTCCACTTTCAACTGCTCTTGTTGGACAAGGTCACGGATGAAGAAGTGCCGGAGTTCAATGTGCTTGGTGCGGGTGTGATACACAGGGTCTTGAGAGATGTGGATGGTACTCTGGTTGTCACACCAGAGGGTGGGGGCGGACTGTGGGAAACCAAGTTCCTGGAGGAGGAAGGTGAGCCAACGAGCCTCCTGAGCAGCCATGGTGCCTGCGTAGAGCTCTGCCTCACATGAGGAGAGGGAGACTGCAGACGACCTGGTGGAGCGCCAACTGACAATTCCGCTCCCAAGGGTGAAGCAGTACCCCTGAGAGGAGCGTCGGTCGGTCTGGTCATCAGCCCAGGAGGAGTCGGTGTAACCCTCTAGGCGAGGAGGGGAGAGCCCACCGAGTGTGAGGACGTGAGACTTGGTGCCCTGAAGATAGCGCAGCACCCGCTTGGCTGCCTTCCAATGAAGATCAGTGAAGCGTCCAGGGGCCACGTAGCGAGAGAGGACACTGACAGGATAGGCCAGGTCTGGCCGGGTGCACATCATGGCGTACATGAGGGACCCAACAAGCTCCGGGTATGGCTCAG